CAAGCTTCCCGGTACCAGGTGTACTGATGCACTTTTCGATGCTCGAAGAAGGTGTTCATAATAGACAATTATAGTTATTATTACAATTATAGTTATAGTTACAATTATGGTCATTATTATTCATAATAGACATTCATAATATACATCATTATTACCGTAATAAAAAGTTTTAGTCATCAGAGTGATTCGAAATGAAGTACTCGCCTCGTGTGCAATTAACTTTCCGTTGCCAAAGAGACAGGCATATCGTGAGTTGAATTTCATCTTCCAAATCGACATCATATATTCTTTCTCCATCTGCAGCTCTATTCCTGTAAAACGATAATCGTAGATTCTACGTTTCATCACAAGCCACTGACCGTTTTGTGACACGACGTAATACCACGCCCGATTGTTGACGGCAATGCCTAAATGGCGACGCCCAACAGCCACGATCTTTGGTTCGAACGTCAACGGAAGTTTCGCGCTGATGTCCTGAAAATCTTGCATAGAACTGGCTGTTCGCACTAACTGTTCAAACGTCGAACCTTGTTCGTAATGCAGGTGACTGTAATTTCGTACAGAGAAGACATATAGGCAACTGTATTTTGATAGGCAGCTCCTAGACGCGGCAAACGGGTCAAATAAATCTGCAACTTTTGATTGTCGACGTTTGCTGCCACCATGACACCGTCGTCGGTAACTTCAACTCCGTTGAAAGCGGTGCTTTCGCCGCCCACGCTTATAATTGAACTCGCCTCCGCCAGGTTGCTCAAATTCCGCAGCTTCAGCCTGAAGTCAAAGTTAATGGTAATGCTGCAGGAGACATCATTCTCTTACCCTGAATCACCAGTGGTGAACAGTTTACCGAATGCGGCACTAACCGTCAATCCAGAAAGACAATTCCTTTGATCTTGAATGGAAAACATTTCCTGAAATGCAGTGGTAGTCAGAGGTGTCACATTAGTGCCAATTTAGTTGTGGGAGGGATGTTGTGAGGTTTTGGTGAGTGAGCAAGCTAACAAAGAACGGGATCATTGAAAATTTCTTCTGCGGAAATTGGTGTCACACTCAAAGAAGAATTGGAATTGCTGACCATTAAATCGATGAACGAAAGGATGGGAATAAACGAATAAATTAATGAATGAAGTTGTGGCTGTTTGAATGAAGCAGTGAATGTATGAAACAGTGATTGGATAAGCGAACGTATCGACGAAGTGATGAATGAACAGATGATGAAAAAGAGTGAATGAGATACCTTATCAATGAATGGCAAATGACTGAATGACTACATGAATGAATAAACAAACGCCTGAATGAATTGAATGACGAATATTGTAGGAGTTTCAGTATTTTCTCTTTCATTTACGGCGAGAGTTAACAGAGCCAAGTTTTAAAGGCTTGAGCGTACAGCCACTACCTCGCAGATTAGGAAGTCACAGCTGCAACTGTTTGGCTGTGTTTTGCAAATACTTTTAGAAACGATCGCGAAACATCTATGGTCTGTTCCATCAGTTTTCCGAAGACTCCGAGGACGCGATTACCAATACGACCTGGAACAAGTGCCTCAACAGACTTTGCTCGACACTTCGATAATCTTCTGCCAAGACTCAACCCCTGGTGCAGGATCGTGAACATTCGCGATACTGACTGACGGTGCTGCCTCCTCGATCCGAAAGGATGAGCGACCAACGAAACTGACAAACGAAATTGCACCACTTGCTCGATAGTGTAAGCTTAGTTATAATTTGAGGAAAAACTTAAAATGACGAAGCAGATTGGCGGTATTCTAAAAGAAACTGAAGAGCGGTCCAATTATACATCACCGGGAACATCTCTGGTAAATTTTAAGGCAGAAAGAAGCAAGCACTCCTCGAGACAATATAGACTTGTATGTTTAGGTCTCGTCTCTATCATTTTCAAGGTAAGCGAGATTATTAACACTTTTATTTATCCAAGCACATTTTTTACCTGCCCAAATTCGAAATCACGGGTCGATATTGAAGCTATATAACCAAATTGGAAACCTATGATGATCAATTCATCATTGCACCTAAATATCAAATACAAATAAACTAGCATAGAAAAATATTAGTTATTCGTGACACAAGCAAATTAAAATTTCCTCAGAAACAGTTTGACACTTGCAATGAGATCTGGTGCTGGAAACCAATGTATAACTAATTCTACTAAATTTTGAATGGCTTATGCATCTTAGCAAAAGTTTTTGGTCATCTAAGAATTCAAGACAATATCCTAGCTATGTTCACCTTAACGGAGATGGCAAATTCAAAGAACTGACGTCAGCTTAGAACTTACTTTACCACGGTAGGAGACTTGAGCAACCACCGACTGCATGAAATGAACTTGACGAATTACGGTTCCCATTGCCGTCACAAAGACCTATACTTATGATGCGATACTATCATCTGATGGTGGGTTCAATAAAAGCTCCACTTCAGTGCAAATCAGCTGCTAATCCGCAGTTGTTGATATTCTGTGCGTACCATTCCTGATGTCCTGTTCTTTTCTCCAGACAGCGCATTTCATATTCTGCCCTGTCATAGACAAAAAGATTTTACATGTCGAACTGGAAAGTTGAGAATAGGTTCATCTAGAAAAGCCTATATAACTGCATATGTACGTATATGGAACCAAAGAGATGGATTCACTGGAAATGTGTCAAGGTATGAGAGTTCCATAAATATAAATATCACTAACTTCATGTTCACTCCATTCCCTAGTTATTTTACTACTTATTTCCATTTTCTCATTTCGTCGTTGGCTTGGCCGTTTTTTGCTACCCTTTTTTATTTACTTCCTTTTTCCCGTAGTTTCTCGCCTAATATCATATTTACATACCTACCTGCGACTTGCTTTTTCACCTAGTATCTTATTTAATATTTTGCCTACTTCCAGGTATAGAGTGTATATATACAGCTATTTACTGACGTTGACTGGGTCAAAGGCCGCCATTAACGTTTTTGACCGTATTTTAGACGCCATCTTCAGTAAAAAGCAGAGAGCAGTATTCAGTTGCTGTTGGAGTTGTCTGCGACAGACGGTTGTTATGCGGCCATGAGAACAACGTGTGATTTGTCCTGCCACTTAAATAGTTTTTCGGCTAGAGGGTGGCGAAACTCATCCAATCCGCACAGCGTTTGTACTGTCTCTTACTGTCGACATTTCTGGACTGGTTACTTAAAGGATTTTTGATGCTTAGGCCTGTTCAGCACATTTCATTTGTCAACGACACCGGTGCACTCTGATTATTAGGATGCTGGAATGAATTCAAGGGATTTCGTGGTTCATGCTCAGGTACGTCTTTTATTGGAATACGCAAGTTCATTTCCTGTTTTCATAAAATCACATTATTCAAACATTATTAAGGTATATGTTAATACCACATGTACGGACATACACCAATTACCATCGATACTGCACAATTTTTCCGTATCGTGCTTGAAACTGGAGGCTAACCGGTCCCTGTGGATTGTGCAGCTGAATGAGCATCAGGTTTTGTTCAGTAATTATCACGCTGATCTGTAATCGTGCAAGTTACAGTACGTTCAATCGGAAGCTGGCCGCACTTACCACTGAACGAGTTGATTTCTGAGACACGTCAAGTTTCGTGTCATGGAACTGCAGGTCAGTTGGAAGTCCAGTGCATTGATAAGAGTATAGCTGATCGCCATTAGCCCTGCTGATCGTTATCTGCTGATCTTCAGATCCCAAGGCTAGCAAATCTTCCTCGTTGAAGTCTCCGCAAGTGATTCTTTTGGTGTGCTTTCCGACGATCGATGTTTTGCTGCATTTTGGTAATTAATGCAACTAATACTTTATGGATTAACGTCGTATTTCACTAACTGATTTATAATCCACTCCTCCAAAATTTTAAGAAATTTGGAAAAAACATGATGTGCATTATCGACAACGGAACGAGGTTTAATAGCGAGAAATGCGTAAGATGTTGCTGGAACAGAAAAGTCTCGATTGTTACCAAATGGGAACAAATAGAGATATTTCAGTGACCCGAAATATGACGAATGAAGGACAAGCCAGTGCTAGTTGACAATGTTCTGAAATAAATCGTGAAGTATGGCCTTAAACGTTTTCTCTATCGATTCTGTTCACAGTGTCTTCAGGTATTAGTGAGTTCTTCATTTTAATTCGCGGGATTATTAGCAAAAGATATGGCACTTATTTACCTTGCGGAACTGTGGTCGTATATCACTATATTTCCCTTGCTGCCTCCAATGACTAGGATCCTTGACTTTTTCGCCCAAACTCCAAACGTTAATGCTTCCCTGAAAGCAGACACTGTCACAAACGTATTTTCTGCAATTCAGAATTATCCTGCAGTTTTTTCAACATTAACATTTAACATTTTCGACCT